TATCGTTGCACGATCGTTTGCTTCAGAAACTGCCTTTTCCTCGCACGGTGATGTGCGAGCAACAGCCGGTCACGCTCTTGCTTCTCCTCTCTTGCTAAACCCAAGCATTTCCAGAACACCCACGGCACACAGTCTGAAAGATACCTCTTGGTCTACCTGCCTACATCATCCCAAACTCCTGCTCTTTGATACAGAAGCGGCAGAGGTATTTCCCTCTTGCCCCCATGGCACCCCCGTGCTGGAGAGTGTTCAAGTCATACAGACGTGGAAATAGAAGCAGGGAAAGGATTACAGTTTGCATGGTTCTGTACTTCCCCCTGGTTGCTTTTCTTGTTATTCTGCCCTCTTCTAGCCAGGCAGCCTTTGAATTGCACTGGTTCACCCTTTTCCTGCAAGAGGCCCAGTCCCCTCACACCAGCACCCCAGTGTGATGCCCACACGTGGGCATCAGGCCCCGAGCGTGAGCGGGGAAGGGGAGGCTCGGGAAGGCAAATTCCACCTGCCTGAGTGGTCAGAAGACAGACCGACTGACTGAAATCACCACCGAGCTGGTGTTTATCCTTGAAAGTTTTGTCATGCTGGCGGAGTTACTCCGGCAAACTCCTGCTATGGAATTAGAGTGCTTGCTGGAAAACGCGTTCCGGCTTGGCAGGCAATGTAAGCCATAACATCAAACGCCGCTTTTTGCTGCCATAATAGCATCCACACTGGGGCTTTTGTTGCAGTAGTTAGGTTATAAAAGCCTCCTGACAYGACACAAAGCAATGGAGCGCAAAGCCAAGTCTTGGRCCTTGCCTGCCCAGCGAGCTGTCCCGCAGCGAGCTGTCCCGCAGYGAGCTGTCCCTGCGCCTCAGCGCCATCAGGGAGGCCCAGGTGGGTTTGTTGGGACCTGCTGACCGCAGCCCAGCCGTCAGCGCAGGCAGAGGTGAACCCCAGCCAGCATCACATTAGCCGGCCGCGTATCTGGTGTCCTGTGATCCGGCTTGGTTTCTGCATAGCTGTGGTTGAGCTGGGACTATCCCATTCGCCCTAAAATATACCATGCATTAATAGGGGGGAATTTGCTTCGTCTCAGATTATTTTTCCCTGGGCCTTACCTCCATATTTCTTCCAATATCAATTATGTGGTTGACTTCTCGGTAACATGTGCTAAGTGTAATTTTTCCTTTTAGATTTCTCCTACTCATCTTCAATTTTTGACACCATGAAATATAAACATATCTGACCTTCCCAGGAGAAAACGTCCGTCACTTTGATTGATATTTTGTTGAATCTTTAAATATTGTGTCCCTAAATTTTTTTGAACAGCTTAAATTGAACTAATTGCAAGCATTAACACAGTTAATTATTTTAAAATGTCATTATATCTTCTTAGTAGAAAATCTGTTGCCAAGGGATATCATGAGCCACACACACAATTGTTTCCCCCGGTAGATTGTAATTCAGCTTGCATTTCTAATATTGCACCTCATTTTAATTATTTTTCTTTTGTATGACTGTTGCTAGGTTCCCTCAAAAATGCAAATGGCCCCAATCCAGAAAACAACACAAGTTTTGAATATTGACAAAGTTAGGACCTGAAGAAAGTTTCTTGTAAAATCATATACAAAACCATTCTCCCACTCTGCTAGTGGATTTTATCCCCTCGGCTCCGAAGCCCATCCGCTAGTGAAAGGCTGGAACCAGATTTGCCCAGGAAGCAGCAACAATTTATCGCTGAGGTCGGAGGAGGCAGATTTAGGCTTTTCATTGAGCAGAATAGAAGCTCCATCCAAGCTGCAACCGGCTCCGTGGGCCCTGCTTATCTGGCAGACGGGGCCGTGTCCTGCGTGGGGCTCTAAGTGCTGCTGAGCAGCTTGTGAACAGGGCACGCCGTGTCCTGGAGACACCACCAGCAAATGGGAATAGACACCGTGGATACCCACGCTGGAATTAAGTTGGGGCTACTGTATCTTTATTATAGAGGATATCAGGGGATTCCTAATTGCCCCACATTGGGGTTGTGGCTCGTCCAGGGCAGGTACAGCAGTTCACGAGGTGTTTGTGCAGCACCCAGCGAGGAGCCTTGCTAATGTTACCGTGACCTCTGGAGCTGTAAATTAAAATAAGCGCGTGAGAAATCGCCTCCCCTGGCACCAAATGTTACAAACTAGACAAATCTACAGGCCAAAGTGGGAGCCAGGAGTGCACGGAGCCGTGGCAGGTGCTTTTGCCCATGGGACACGCAGCAGACTCCGTGCACAGCAACGCTTTCGGAGAGAAGAAAGAAATATTGCAGTACTTGAACATTGCTTTTTTTGACCGCAGGATCACTAAAGGGGTGGCTGCTATTCCACTCCGGGCCTCAGAGTCTCATATTAAATAATGAAATTCTTGCTTCGCTGCTCAAGCAAACAGACCCAAGAGCGTTTTTACAAAAACAAACAAAAGTGATGCAAATGCAAGTTTAATGCTAGCACTCAGCCCACATGCGTACTGCACCCATTGCCTTTGCTTTGATGGCAGGCAGAAACCAGAATATAAATAGGCCCACACAGCCATTTAAGGTCAATCCTGCTAAGCTAACAGTGGGGTTTTCTCTGGCCATGTATTTACCATTTATCCATGTCAATCAATATCACCACAGGAGAGCATCGTCTCCTCTGCTCTAAGTGTGTGTTGTTATCCGCTGCAGCACCAACTGATTTCCCAGTAGAGATAATAATAAATAACAATCCTAGCACTGATATAACACATCTGCAGTTTTCTAAGCGGGGGGATGCCTATGAAAGGCAGGAAGTRGCTTATTAAAAGAACTCTGCGTACTTTTGCAAAATATCTTTAAACATCATAATTTAGATAAAGAAGCGGGAACTTGATGATTTCTTCGTGGTTATGTCCCTTCTATCCGCAGGCTACTGTTTGAGTCTAGAGCAGTGACCAAAGGTTTTTACTACCTGACAGGCAAGGAGAAAAGAAGCAATTTTCTGGTATTTCGTGAACTCCTGAGCACAAGGGAAAGCTCCAGCACTGAGCACTGCATGTGGATTAAATATCTCTGCCAGCTTTCACCTAGAGATAAGACCTATAGATCAGAGCAGGGAGGGAAGAACATGGGCACTTCACCCRCTCTGTACCTGTCTTATGAAAAACATGTACAGGCAGATCCTGTCCCTGGATAAATTGTCGGATTTTGGGTCATTGATTTCAGAGCAATTACCCTCATTTACCCTGCAGAGGAGTCTACTAACAGAGCTCATACACACCGATGCCAGGCTGCAGCTCTTGTGAGCACTGCACATATTTCTTGAACATGACTTTACTGCAGATTAATTGTCCCATCTTTTAAAGTTACAAAATAGGCTCCTCAGATGAATTGCATTGGATTTTTTCCCTCATTCTCACACTATACTAGACTTGAAATTCATTTTATAATTTTGTGTATTGGAACAACACACATAGATTTTTTTTTTGTAGTGCTTTATGTCATTTTTTTCCAAGAAAAATACTTTTAATTGGTCTTTTTTAAAAATTATTTTCCTGATCCTGTATTCACTAATACAGCCTCAAATTCTGGTATTTTGTCCTTTTCAACCTTTGGGAGATATGAGAAGAATATACCACAGTAGACAGAGAATTCCCTTTTAACYAGAAACTTATAACTTTCAGCTATAGAATCATCCATTCTCCTAGAAGTGTAAGATATATTGCCCCAATAAATGACATGCTAGATGTTAAATTCTAAGGCAAAAACATATGAAAAAATCCATGTCATTGCCTATTAAAATATATATAACTTAAAAAGCTCCAAGAAACTCTGTTGCAATCTTATTGCAAAGTAATAAACCCTTCTATTGCTCCACAGCAGGTAAGCACAGAGTAGACTTTGTGACTACCAAATTTAACTAATTAAAACCTTCTCCAAGCTGATATGAGCACTTAGTTAATCAAAGGAGTTGCTTGATTTTCATACTAAAAACCTTCGAGGGCTACTGTAATTAATTAAAAGTAGTAATAAATAATTCGGAATGCCTGGGTTTTACATATATTCCTTGATTATTTAAATACTAGGTTTAAAACCCACACCCTCCTCCACATCTCAGCACAACCCCCTGTTTCCCTGCCCCATGGTCCACTCCAGCCTGGCTCTGAGCACCATTAGTGCTTCGTATCAACAGACTGCCCCATACCTTTTCATATACTCAGAGCCTTTAAGAATTAAAGCACATTAAATTATAATATTTTATATATAAATTGCATATTTTTATATATAAATTACATATTTTATACATAAATTAACCCTCAATCCCAGAACATCTCAGCCACAGTTGTAAGTGGCTTCTTGTCATTTACCGGACAAGATTTCATTTTTCTAGAAAATAAGTATTTCTTTGGGGGAAAGGGGTAAGGGAAACTTACTGATCTACAGCCTTTAATGTCAAACGATGTGAGTGATGATGCTAACCTCCCCAAGGCCCCTTTGCTGCTGCCTGCCCTGCTTTCCCAGGAGTTTAGCAACCTGGGCTCTTGTCAGCAGGTTTACTTGAGGAATGGGCAACTTTTTCAAGTACCACTTCTGCAGATGTCTGTCTCCATCATGAGAAATTCCAGGCTCCTTAGTGCCCCTGGCTTCCCTGTGGACCAAATACACACTTGTGTATGTTAGGAAAACTGGGTGTTTTTATAAGCGGGTGAAGCAAAGAGCTGACTTGGGCTTCAAGGGAGAAAGCTCACTCAGTCAAAATCTCATGATTGGAATGGAGAGGAAAGTAAATTTCACTCATGTTGAATGCTGCCTTTGAAATAAAGAATACATAAAATACACCTTGGATTGAAGAATAACCCATGATGTGTTATAAAGAAAGCTGGTGCATCAGGTAAATGTTCATGTGGATCTTTTTCAGCCAGCCTCATGCAGGGGAATTTCCTTCCTTCTGTACTGACCAGATGACATCGAGGTCATCTCCRAATCTTTGGAGAGAGCCCTGCAGCCAGCTTGCCAAGCACCCAGTTCTCTTTGAAGTCAGGGTCGCAGATGTGGCTCTACTGCACAGGATACCTGAAAAAATAACAACAGTCACGAGAAATACACATGCAGACAGGGAGGGAGAACTATGACCTCATCCTCATTAGCCTGACATTTTAGTTTAGTTTTTCCATTTGTTTCTTTTTCATTCCAGTTCTCCATTCTTTTTTTGCCTTCTCACACATAGACAGCATTCCTTTCCATAGACTTCAGGTCAACTCCTATGAAACATTTCTATCCCTTTACACTTTTAAATCTACTTGCTCTGCAACTTGGTGCTGTATTTTCCTTATTCGGGTGAAGCCATGAGAAAATTTGGCGCTTTGGTCTCATTCCAAAGAGGGAATGATCCTCTATCCCGGCCAGCTCAGCGCTTTAGAAAGCTGGGTCCCTCTGAGAGCAATTTTTCCCTGCTGTTACGCAGCTACATTATTCAATACAGTGTATTTCTTGTTCCTAGAGGGAATTGTGATCACAGAAACATGGCAAATTCTTGCTTTCTCAGGGGAGAGAGGGAGAACTTTTTTTTTCCCCTCTTCAGTCTGATGCGCTTGCTTTGGTGCTGTTTTGTGACAATGTATAAGTTCTRTATATTCACTAGATTTTAAGACTCTTCACCTTTTGAACTGTATTTACTKCATTTTCAGTTTGATCCAGGCAAGCTGAACCTGTCACTCGCAGTCCCTGCCCACATGAGCCCCAGGCCCAGTGTACAAAACACATTAGGGGAGTCTAAATGTAAGGCTCAGGCTCAGTATTTGAAGAGYCCGTTCAATTTTCAGCAAGGAAAAGGTTTCTCTCCTGGTTTAACCTAGTATGTAATAATAAAGAAACAAATGAAAAGGAAGAAAAAAATAGCTTGAAACAAGTTTATCCTCAGCAAACACTAAGAGACTATTAAAGACTCTGCTAGGATTATTTACTTGAAGATGAAGCTGGCATAAACAAGACATATGAACTCCCATGTGGCAAACAGCGAAAGTAAAAACTTGGAGCAAGGAACCTTGTCCATATGCACCAGATGGTGAACTGTTTTATCCTGAAAACCATGAGCTTGAATAAGATTTGATATTCTGGCAGATGATCAGCCCCTGAGATAGTGCTTTGGCCAAAGCGATTTAATCAATGATTAGAGTAGTAGGGAAGAAATCAAGGGGGTTCTTTTTCCACTAAATTGATCAATACTAAAATACTCACCTTTAGACACCAAAAGAGCCTGAGCTTCAGAGAAATATTTTGCCCATGACTCTGCACATTAGCTGTTCCTGTAGCTCCACAAAAGCCAGCTCACCAGCAGCTGACTCAGCCTAGGGGAGGCCCCAGATCAGGGATTTTCCAGTGGGGAGAACCTAAATACACAAGGTAGGAGCTCTAATATCTCACTTTCCCTCCCACTTTGACTTCTTATTTGCTTTGGTATCAAAGACCTTCACCTTGCCCTACCTGAGCTCCAGCTTGTTACCTTGAACTCCTGCACAAATGCATTCAGTCCTTCAAATCTCCCTTCTCCTTTACAACTGAACCACTTTTGTCCCCTCTGGTGGAGTTGCACAGGAGAAATGCTGATTGCAGCACTATGCAGAGAAGSATTAACACTTCTCAAGGATAATACTCTCGAAGTAGGGTGCTCTAGGTCATTGGCTAAAACACACGGAACCAAACAACAGAAAATTTCCTAGAGGGAAATGCTCACCCATGACAAGCAAGTCTCTCATCTGCAGCAAGACCTTCTAACTGTGTGTGCACATCTGTCATGCAGTCTCTCTMTATATATATTTGCTAGGAGTTCTATGACTATCAGAGCCCCTAAGCAGATTTTTCCCTTCAACACCTGTGGCCCAAATTCTGAAGAAGACAGTATGGTTCCTAAAATGCACAGATGTGTGCGCAGATGTGCCCGTGTTTGAAAGGGCAGCTGATGAGCTGGGTTGTGATGTCTTCGCCTGTGGATCAGTGGGAAGCTACCTGAATGAGGCCAACAGAAAAAAAGATGCTCCAACAGGTTTCTTGGCTTGCTGGCCAGTAACTACCACGCAGGCAATGCCATTCACATCGGTTAATCCTGCCAACACCGTGTGCTAGGGGGTTATGCCTAGAAGTCAGGTCAGCAGCCACCTCTCTGGCCTCCTCAGGTCCAAGAGACCTCCAGTTATGGCAGATGATATCTCCCCTTTTTGATCATTTGGCTACAAGAGTTTTGTTAGAAATGCACAGAGTAGCTCCCTCCTCCAAGGAAGGTTTCTCAGTGTGAACTTTTTGGCTCAAATGGCTTTCAAACGTATATCACTGATTTAAGACAGCAATAGTTTCTATGCATCTTCAGTGGCCGTATACATCCATACTGCTATTATTGTTCCATGTACCCAGCACAAGTCAACTGATTATACTTAGCAGTTTGCTGTATGCCTGTAAATTATTACACTGTCATCTCTAGAAGAAGTATTGCTGGAAAAGAATGACACGGTCCTTCCTTTTTAAKGTATTGTCCTAATAAAATTAATTACCCAATATCCAGCTCCTAGAAAACTGCTCAGCAGAAATAAAATTCTAGAGATGATCTATTCTTATCAGTGGTAAATGGAGTAAGGAGTGAGTCATTGCAGGCTTCAATACAAAATACAAATGACGTTGGAAGAGCAATCAAACTTTAAAATTCATTTTTCACAGAACCCATCAAAATGAATAGTTGGAAGAGGTTGCATTGAGTGGAAAGTATTCCCATGCTTTTAAGTAATTTTTGCTTTAATGTAGTTTGTGGTTGTTCCAGGGTGGATAAAACAAGGAACGCCTGTCCAGAGCCATTGCCCTAATTTCTGATCTAGACAGACTTATGTGACCATGACATGTCATTGTCAAATGAACAAAAACACAGAAAATCTAAACTAGGATTTGCTTTGGATTTGGGACCCATTAAAAATCAGTTTCCAAGGAAGGTTATGACACTGAGCCATGATGTCATGCAGAGTAAGGGGGAAAAGTCCCAATAAATCAAGTTTTGCTCTCTCTTATCAATTCAAGGCAGAACATCACCACTATGGTTACAGCAAGGTGTAAATATAAAGAGGATGATGAAGAGCCTTAGGCTCCTYGACACGGCCACAAATACCAAGATGGTTCTTTTTAAATGCATCCACCTCTGGAGCTCACCGTGCGGGGGAGATTTCCCAGGAGCAAAGGGAAGGACAGCACTCCTTGGGGCACTACAGGCACTGCTTGGTGCAGCCCGGGTGCTGCCCACAGCTCGGGGGAGAGCAGCTGCACCTCGCGCMGCTTCGCCCCTCGCTCCAGCAGGCAAAGATGTGCTTTACAAACGCTGATGAGCAAAGCAGATCAGCAGCTCCGGTTTCATCTGCACCATTCAAGCATGAGGAAATTTAGACTTGAAAACCCCACAGCATTAACGTTTTCCAGTGTTTTGTAGTTATTTTCAAMGAGTTTTGAAAGGAAAAATAAATGCCAGAAATTTTAAATCCCATTACATGCTACATCCAAGTCCATATTTGTGCCATAAGAGATAGACCAAAGCTATTCAACTTAGTGAAAAAGGACTGCAATGTTTAAGAGTCTTTAGAGGATCTGTGGACATCAAGAGCCCCATCATAGCTTTGCTGCTAATTTGCTAGGGTTAAGCCACTTACACTCTTTGTTCTCCCTTGTTCCCACAGGCAAAACGAGGACAATTTTAATGACCGCTTTTCCTAGAAAAATACTGAGAGATTTAATGAGCTAATGTTTTTTTTCTCCCCACACTCCCTCTCTCTATATGTATATAAACATACAACATTYGTTCGATAGTTACCATGAGGGGAAGAGCACTGGAGGACAGTGAGAGCATGAGCAGCACTTACAGCAAAGGAAGGACAGGGTAAAGCTGTTTTATCAGACTTGGAACTGACGTTCAAATGCCTTTAATCTTACAAGCCAATTATGGGCTCACAATTGCGTGTCCTGGCATTTGTCTGAAACCTCAGACGTCGCGGAGTCACCAGGGTGTTTGCTGCCGTTCAGACCTTGAGAGCGCGACTCCCTCAAACCTCTCCTCAAACACATCTCGTCCTCGCTTTCATGGCTGGTTCGCACACAGCCTGCCATTACATATCGTAAATTCTCTCTTTATGCCAGAGGTACTTAATGAGGTCAAATGTCTTACGGAGGAGAGTGTTACAGACTGCTGTGCTTCAGCCCAGGCTGGCTTTCCCTTGCAGTGGAGCTGATAAAACCCACCAAAATGATTATAATACGTAAGACAGAAAACTCAAACAGTGCAAAAGTAACTTCAGTCGGTCCAGGATGATTTATACTTTGAGGGTCCAGCCATAGGAGAAAGCTTGCCAAGCATAGCTTTTCCTTACAGTCTGTGTTCCTTTCAGGAGTCAGTCCAATCCCTAGTAATTTCCTCTATTAAACCCCCCTTCCAACTCAGGAGTTCCTTCCTTCTGCAACAGCAGTAGAAAAATGTGCCCAACAGCATCATAACCATCTGTAAAAGCAAGCTAACTGCCCAAATCYATGGTTATTATTTTGATTTGCGTAATGTACTTTCCAAAGAAGCTTGAGACCCATCTACAATTCATAAAGAAACGTATTTTTCAAATTCATATGAGTTCACATGTTTAGTAAAGAATATTTTCTGACTCACTGAAATCAAGATTCTCTTCAAAGAAAAAAAAAAGAAAAAGAAAAAAAGAGAAAAGATGTGGGAAAAATACCCAGATCATGAATAAGCTTTGAACAAGGGTAACACATGCACTGAGCAGCAGCCGCCCAAACTYACAGCATGGCATCAGCAGTTATTGCAAGTCTTATCCTTGCAGAAGTTTTAAATGCATCCATTACTTTGCTCTTTTCATAAATTCCATTAAAATCAAACTATTCATGTGAGTAAATGTGCACGTGTGATCAAATAAACCTTCATGGTAGGATCATGCCCCTGTACTGGACTTTGCAAGACAGCAGTGCTAACCACAGGTTGGCCAGGATGAGCAATTCTATACCAGTAAGTGATATACATATATATTATATATTTTTTTTCC